CTCCAGGGAATCCCATGCCCTATTCTGACCTCCATGGACACCTGCACACACTTGACATACATACATACACATAAATTTCAAAAAATAAACCTAAAAAATTTACCAGGAAAAAAAGATTCTTGTGTGCCTGTGTGTACATGTGGCCTAGAGGCTCTCAGGGTCATTATATTCTTTTTAGGCCTGTCAAATCACCCATGTACACTTGTGTCTGCTGATGCCCAGCCTGTATGCTAAGTTGGTTTATCACACACACCTGTACCTTATTGGCATGCTTTGTTTGAAGTCCAGGGGATGGAACCTAGGGCATACTGCTTTCTAGATAAGTGTTCTACCACTGAGCTACGCCCCCAGCCTAGACTGCTTTTGACCTGTGGATGCCTTGTGTTTGGCAATGTAGCTCCACCCTCTACCACTGAGCTACATTTCCAGAGTCCTTGTCTTGAGTTGGCTGTCACTGGGTGTCTTGCCCAGATAAATGTCTGCTGACCTTGTCTATGTGTCCCTGGCTGGCAGTCTCAGTGGCCTGGGTCACAGAAGTTTGTGCCTCTGAACAGGGTGACTGAGTATGTGTGTAAATTCCTGCAGTTCCCCCCTCCCCGCCCCCAGTCTGGCCATCTTAGGCCATGTTTACCCTGCCCCCAGCAGATGTCTGCCCTGCCCTGGGAGGGGTTGGCCCTCCTGTCTGTCCAGCTAGCAGTCCACAGGATGTTCTCGAGACTCTGTCTCGGGCCACCCGCAGGTCAGGACCCAGGCGTCCAGGGTGGTGGGGGGGGTGGGGCTGCAGCGTGGGGGGGGAGTATCCCTATCAGGACACGGGAATGAGGGTGGGGGGCAGAGAAGCGGAGGAGCCCAACAGGTTCCGCCTCATTCCTGCCCTGCCTCTCACTTCCTGGGTGCCAGCCCGGGGCAAAGGTGGACAGAATGAACCCCACGGCCTCAGATACCTGGGTGGGGCAGTAGGTGCTACTGCTGGGCACCTGGACCAAAGATACCCCTCCATCCCGTGTCTAGCTTTGAATGCAAAGTGTCTATTATTTACCTAATCTACACAACAACTCATTGAGCTGGACATAATATTCAGATGGAGAAACCGAAATGAGGGCAGAGCTAGGATTTGACCTTAGCTCTGTATACAGCTGCTGCTTTCCAAAACCTATAGCCTGCTCAGCCTGTCCCCCTCTATGCATCAAGAGTGTGGGGAGCAGTAGGAGCGCTGGTCCCCATGAGGCCAGGCTCAAGGGGCTACCCGCTGGCTCTGAGTCAAAAAGGGCCCCTAGATGAAATGAATAAGAAAACGATTTTAACCGTTTCATCGCCACGACCGGCTCTACCAAAACTTCCGGGGGGTGTGGGGGTGTGTGTGTGTGTAGCGAGGGCCAGCTAGAGGGGACGTAGCCCAACAACTTGAGCGGGAGCACCCCCTTCGGGCGCACTAGGTCCCCTGAACTTGATCCTTAGCTCCGGCTGCTGGGGGGTGGTCCCTGAGTCCGCAGCCCCCTCCCCAGGGGCCTGAGTCACACATGGGGAAAGCCACGAGGGGTGAGTCACCTGGGCGGAGCTGGGGGAGCGAGGCCGGCTGCGCCTTGGGGACCCCAAGGCTGGCCTGAGTCACGCACGCCCTGCCCCCGTTGCCCTCCTGCCGGGCTGTGCGGAGACTGGGAGCGGGAAACGCGGGAGGACTAGGGGAGGGCACGGAGGGAGGAAGCTTCGGTCCTGCAGCTCTGGGAAGCGTGGTTTCCATGACAAAGGGGTGGGGTTGTCTCAGCTCCTTGGAGTCAGATCCTCCTCAGCAGGGACTGCCCCTCCCCGCGCGCTGGGGAAGCCCCTGTGTGTTCGGCCGAGGGGCCCCAAGTTTCAGGTCAGGCAGGAAGGGGTTAAACGGCAGCGCGGTCCGGGTTTCACCGGCCCTGGAGTCCTAAGCTAGGCCAGCGAATCCCCACGGCGGCCCCCGCGCTCACGCGCTCATGCACGCACGCAGCCACCCCACCCCTGGCCCGCACGCACGACCGCGTCGGGCTCCACGCACACAGCGAACTCCGTCGTGTCTCACGTCACGCACGACGCACGCACCCCCGCAGCACTGGGAGGAGTCCTCCGGGCGGAGAAGGGCTGTGTAGCCACGCCGCTGACTCTACTGAATCGCTGCCCCCACTTATTCGACTGCCTGGTGTGACTTTGGCACCCCCCCTGTACACCGAAGGTCACAAACAACTCTGACCCACGGTGTCATATTGACACAGGATACACCTGCTACATGTTGTCAGAACACCCCTGTTCAAAGCTAGCCCTGTTACAAACACAGGCCACACGGACACACAGGGACCACAAGAGTCGCCGCAAGCTCATCAGCCACGCACTGTGTCTGAGACACAAACAGCCGTTTGCACACACAGGCATTTACAGATGCCACACCAGGCAAAGTAGAAAGCACACTTCTTGGTCACCCGGGACTTGGACTGTCGCACAAGCACCCCTCACTTGGAAATTGTGGCAGCAGACATCTGGTAGAGACAAATACGACAGTCATGTCGTCACACAGTTATCACGGGCGCCACACACAAATACTCCAGTTGTTAAAGAGCTATGACAAACCAGGACTCATGATAAGGTCACATTATCACAGTAAAACAAATGATGAAGACAAAGTATTTTTTTCTTTTCTCTCTACTCAGAAACATGGATTCTAGTACCTCTAGAACAACATCAACAAAAAGGATATCACAGGCATACAACCTCATACAACCTCATGCCAACAACCTTAGACACTGCCACACATTCCCTCACACAAAAATAACACACCCATTCTTGTCTACATAACCAGTTCCAGGCTAGCTAGGGCTACATAGGGAGACCCCATCTCAAAAAAATTTTTTTTGGCTCGGCATGGTGGCGCATGCCTTTAATCTCAGCACTCGGGAGGCAGAGGCAGGCGGATCTATGTGAGTTCAAGGCCAGTCTGGTCTACATAGTGAGTTCCAGGACAGCTGAGGCTACAGGGAAACCGTTTCAAAAAGAAAAAAAAAAAAAAAATGTTTTTAATAAAAAAAAAAAATAATCTTGATTCTGACCCAAAGATACTGCCTGAACTACAGAGAAATGCATAGGTTGTGAATGAGGCTCCCTGCTATCCTAGTCCTGGATTTTTGTCTTTTTTGCATGCGCCACCACGCCCAGCATTTGCCTTTTTTTTTTAAGGTAGGGGGAGACAGTGTCTCACCATGTAGCCATAATGGCTGGCCTGGAACTCCCTATGTAGACCAGGCTGGCCACAAACGCACAGAAATCCTCTTTCCTTTGCTGGGATTAAAAAAGAGACCACCACCAGATCCGGCTTTTTCTTCTCTCTCTCTCTCTCTCTCTCTCTCTCTCTCTCTCTCTCTCGTCTTTCTTTTTTGTAGGCATTTTTTCTCTCCTCCCTCCCTCCCTCCTCATACAGTCTAGGCTTACTATAGCTCTAGGCTCACCTCCAACTTGCTGTATAGCTGAGCTCGGCCTTGAACTCCAGATCCTTTTGTCTCTCCGGAGCCCTTCCAAGTGTGGAGATTACAAGTATGCACACATGGCTTCTTAAATTTCTTTTGTAAAATTATTTTAATTTTATTTTATTAACCCATCACCTCCCACCTATACAAATTTGAGCACATTTCTCACAGAGGCAGGGCAGGGCAGGGTAGAGTTTTGGCAGAATGTCAGCAATTGGGGTGCGGAGAGACTGTCAGGGTCCCTATGGTAACATGCATGGAGTCCGCTCAGATATTTTTTGCTCAGCCAGTGGAGAGGTGGGGGTGGGTGCTTTCCACTTGTTGAGGGTCCCAGGGTCCTAATCCCCGCTGTGAAGACTGGGTCCTTGCCCAGATGTGCAAGCTGAAGGGGGAAGGCTGGGGTCCAGCTGTGGCCACAGGGAGGGGTTGACTCACTCACTTCCCAGCAGTACAACCCAGACTGGGCCCAGCTGTTCCTGGAAACAGGCAGAAGGAGGTGGGGTCCCCAAACCAACTGAGGGCTGCTGATCCAAACCTGCAGAGTTGGGCTTTTGGTACCTAAAAATGTTTTAATTAAATTTTGTTGTATTTCATACAGCAATCTCAAACAATCTTAATGATCCTTATAGTACCGTCCCCACCAGCGCTCTCCCATAGCTCTCCAACTTGAACCCACATACTCTGTCCTGGGTGTTAAGGCCCACTGTCCGCACCCATTTTGTAACAACTGTGGTTCCTGGATAACCGGAGGAGGGCAGGGGAAAACGAGGGTGGCTTTATTTCCCCATTTGGGCACCAACTTCTCTGGTGGATGCTGCGAGTTGGGGGAGCCAGCGGCGGGTGTTCCCACACCCGCAGGAAGACAGCCTGGTCAGGAAGCGCCGTCCCAGTTCTTCCCCTCTATCCCCTTCCACAGACTCCCAGGCTCTGGAGTCTGGAAACCAAGACGGAAAGGCGTTGTGGGGGTGTGGTCCAGTCTCCAAGGCTCTCGAGAGTACGCGGCTACGTATTCGACTGTCTGGAGGTAGATTGAGGATTTTATGCGGTGAGGACAGGAGGGTTCAGCCCACTCAAGGGCAGGGTCACAGGAGAAGGCTCTATGCGTTAATGGAAGCAGAGCACATCCCCCACACACCTGGACCGGTCCCAACGTAGAGCCCGCCCCTCCCAGGGTACAGCTAATAACCTCTAATTACTGCATATTACTCCACCCGCCTGCGGGGGAGAGGCTTCTAGGAGACCTGGGGGGTGGGGGGTCAAAGGACGGGGTTTGGGGCTTTTCCATCCCCTTAAACCCGGGTCCACCCGGAGTCAGTTTCTCTGTCTCTGTCTCTGTCTCTCGTCTTTTTTGAGACAGGGTCTCCCTTTAGCCCCAGCTGGCCTGGAACTCACTATGTAGACCAGGTTGGCCTTGAACTCATAGTGATCCGCCTGCCTCTGTGCTGGGACTAAAGGCATGCGCCACCACGCCCCGCAGTATTTATCTCTTAAAGACTGCATAGAGTAAGCACAACACAATGGTGTCTTGAGAGACTTTATTGTTATCAATTGGTATGCCTCTTTTGAGCCCTCTCCATCACCTAAGCAGGGTCTATGGGTGGACGCACCCTTTTCCCACGAGGCGGCGCTCTCGCGTCCTGCTCGCCCCCTGGTGGACTGCGGACCATCAGCAGCCTCCGCCCGGTTCAGGGTGAGGCAAAAGGACTCATGCCTCCAGAGCGGGAAAAACGCAGAGGAAGCTCAGAGGAAGACGACTCCAGTTTGGGCAAGTGTGTCTGGCCATCATTCAGGACAAGGCTTCCTGTCCTGTGTCGCCCACACATGGGCAGAAGTCCGGAGTCACTTCTCTCGGGAAGACCTCTTTTAGGATCGTCTCGCTCCAGGTCCATAGGATGTGTTACAGTTCACGTCTCTCCGAACAGATAAAGGATCCAATCACAACATAGCTAATCAGGAGGGTTTCTCCCAGCTGCAAGGAAAGGACGTGAATATACCTGTTAAACAGGGTGGGACAGCTCCGCCTCAGAAGGATCCTGAGGACCTCTCCACCTCAAAAAAGAGAACCCGGGTAGAGAGGAGGCGAGGACACTCCCACTGCGCAGGGCTGGGCCACCCTGACCCCTAGCGGAAGAGCCGGCACCCGACTGCTGCCCGGATCCAAGATGGCGGAGCAGGAGGCACGGGCTGGCATTCGTGTTCATGTGCCTGGGGCGGAGCCTGTGCCTAGGGGGCGGGGTGGAGCGGGGCGGCTCTCTAGGCCGAGCGGGAGGTCGGGGCTTCGGGCGCTCGCTGGTGGCCGGCCCACAGGCTGCAGCTGCGCGCAGGGGTCGGTGGCCGGGGTCGAATTCCATCGGGAGCCATGAGCGTGGACAAGGCCGAGCTATGCGGGTCTCTGCTCACCTGGGTAGGTCGGGGGGCGGGCCTGGGTCAGGTGTGCGCCCGCTCCTCTCGTCCTTCCCTCTGTCTTGGGACTGGAAGAAGGAAAGGGTCGTTGGCCCAGCGGCCGTTGGACTCTGACCCTAGCACTTGCTCCTGTCACGTGGCAGGCCTGCTTGGAAAGAACAGGTGAGACCCCGCCCCCTCTTTGGCTGGTTCTAGAGCAGGGCAAGGGGACACAGGTGTGCTGGCCTGGTCACATGGTAGCTGGGGGGACCAGGTGACTCGTGGTACCGCCCTGACCTGGGCTTTCAGGGTTTGTCGGGCAGAGGTGAGGTGAGACCACGCCCCCTCCCTGACAGGTGTGCAGAAGCCACTCCCCCGCAGAGCTGGCTACAGGCTAGAGGCCGCCCAAACCAATGAGTTATCTGTTGGCTGGGAAAGTCTGCAAAATGGGTGGTTCCAGGTCCTGAATTTCCCTGTTGCCCTTTCCTTCCCCCATCAGTTGCAGACGTTCCAAGTTCCGTACCCCTGTGCAAGCCCCCAGGACCTGAACAGCGGCCTTGCTATAGCTCGTGTGCTGAATCAGATGTGAGTGGGGCTGAGGGAGAGGATCCCAAAGGGCTCCCCAGCCAGCTCATCCCATTTATTTTCCACCCCCAGAGATTCCTCCTGGTTCAATGAAGCATGGCTCAAGGGCATCTCAGAGGACCCAGGTCCCAACTGGAGGCTGAAGGTGACAGGCGGATGCATGACTAGGAGATAACTAGGGGAAGAACTGAGGAAGTGATTGGGAAGGGCCAGGTAGACACATGCCATTCATGATGGACAAACAGACCTTTCAGGAGGAGGACCAGATGTCTGGTATCAGCCAACCATTTTGTTCTTTCATTTATCTATGGAGCACCTGTGTAGGGCTCCTAGTAAGCAGTAAGACAAAAACCTACCCTCACATGTCTGTCACTGTAGTGATGTGGGCAAAAAAGCACATACACAAATTCAGAAGTTAACTTCCAAAGAGTGTGGTGGCAAATGCCTATAACCCCAGCTACTCCTGGGAAGCTGAGGCAGGAAGAATGTAAGTTCTTGTCAACCTGGGCAACTTACCAAAATCTATCTCAAATTTTTAAAAGGGATCCAGGCATGGAACTCAGAACAGTTGCCTAGCCCACACAAGGTACTGGGTTCAATCCCCAGTACCAGGTGGTAGTGGTAGCCAGAGTGGTAGCACACCTATGGAATCCTAGTACTTAAGTGGCAGGGGTAGGGGTATCAGGAGTTCAAGGCCAGCCGTAGTGGCTACCCAGCAAGTTAGAGTTTAGTCTGGACCACATGAGATGCTGTTTTGGAAAATAAAACAAGTTCAGATAGACTATGATGACAGTTATAAAGAAGGACCACAAGAAACTATAATAGGGGGTAGGTGCTTGAGATGGGCTTTTATTACCATGTGAGACTTGGAGGAAAGCTTTCCCAGGCACAGGAAACAGCAACTGCAGAATCCTTGAGCTGGGAATGATTGAGAAACAGTGAAGAGGTCAGAAGAGAGAGTAATAGATCAAGAATTGTACGACCTAAGTTCGTCCAGGGCCTGGCAGACCAGGGAGGAGGTGTGGATTCTATTTTAAGTTCTATAGAAAGTCAGGGAAAGGTTTTAGCAGAGGAAAGACATAAACTAGTTCAGCCTTTAGAAGCCCACCCCACCCCCCAGCTGCTTGGGGAGGAATGCACTGTAGGCCACAAGAGTGGGAGATGAGGGGTTAGTGGGAGAGGGTTTGCCTAGAATGCATCAATGAGGGGCTGGGAGCATGGTTCAGGGGGAAAGCCCTTGCCTGCCATGTCCAAGTCCTGGATTAAATCCCCAGGACTCCTATACCCTCCCCTGCAGGACACACCACCAAAAAGGGAGAAATGAGAAGTGACTGGTGCAGTCATCCAAGTGAGATGACATTGGTAGTGCCAGGTGGTGAGAAGCGATTGGATTCTGGGACTCGTGAATAAAGATGGTCAGGTAGACACATCGGCAATGCATGTTCTAAAGAGGGTATTTAGAACAGGGTCAAACAAGATGGGATAAACATGGAATAAGAGGTGAGCAGGGGAGGGGAGTGAGGACAGATTCAGGGTCGAGATAGATCCCTATCCATAGATAACTCCTTGGCTCTCCCCAGATCAGCAAGCTGGAGAAGATCTTACAGAGCCTGGTGGAGTACTGGCAGGATGTGAGTAACTGCAAAGAGATTTAGGGAGCTGGGTTGGGAGAAGGAGGAGGGTCTGTGACTCCTGATTACCCCCTCCCTCAGGTTCTGGGCCATCCTGTATTGGAACAGCACCTTCCAGATGTCAGCCTTATTGGCGAGTTCTCAGACCCCTCAGAGCTTGGCAAACTACTTCAGTTGGTATTGGGCTGTGCTATCAGTTGCGAGAAAAAGCAGGGTATGAGGAGGGCTAGAAAATGAGCCAGAGGGCTCCCTGAGGAAATGTTCTTCCTCCCTGACCCATCCCTGGTCTTAGTAGTCACTCCCACCTTTATCCCCAGAGCATATCCAGAGAATCATGACGTTGGAGGAATCTGTTCAACATGTAGTGATGGAAGCCATCCAGGAGGTGGGTGAGGGTGTTCCTTGTGGCAATCCAGACGTGTCAAGGGCAGAGACATTTCTAGGGCAGAGGCAACTAGACATAGAGCTTGCCCTGGTAAGGTCAGGCCTCTGCCTGAAAGTCAGCTGGCCAGACGTCTCTGTCTCATGTATCTGCCAGCTCTAAGTCAGAACACTGCAAGCTCAAAAGATTTGGACTTTCTCTGCATTGGAGGGAGGAGGGCAGCCCCTGGACAGGGATTATCAGGCCAAACTAGTCTTGGGGACTGGGAGTAGAGAGGCTTTTAGGTTGAACTGTAGAAGCTTTGAAGGTTGTGTCAGAGAACCTAGCTCATCAGTGTCCCCTTCCTCAGCTCATGACAAAAGACATCCCTGATACACCGTCACCGGAGACTTATGGGAACTTTGATACACAGGTAAAGATGGGGAACCTGCTAAAGGTCCCAACCCTATTGCTGGTTCTCGGGTTGCCTGAGGTGGAAGGGCTTGTCCTGTGTAGTCCAGGTGTTGAGGGTGAACTTTTGATCCTCCTGTCCTCAGCCCCTCTAGTAGCTGGGTGCTAGTACAGTGGTGCACCACCATATCCAGATTAGGAGTTTGTTGCCCTTAAACATAATCACCCACCCTTGTCCTCAGGGTCTTAGTCTCTTCTTTTGCCAGGTCTCCAGATTTCTCAAATTACACTTCTTCCTGTCCCTTGGGATCCCATCCCTCTTTTAGATCCTGAGGTTCCTTGACCCCCTGAGTGCCAATAGATCTCAGCTTTCCTGTCTCCCAGCCCACTTGGATGCCTGAGCTCTTTTCCCCAACCCCCCCTTTTCCATCTCCTCAGTCCCGTAGGTACTATTTCTTGAGTGAGGAGGCAGAGGAGGGGGATGAACTTCAGCAACACTGTCTGGACCTGGAACGGCAGGTGGGCAGGGCTGAGGGAGCAGGGCCACATGCATAAAGCCACCAGCATACACTCCAGTGCAGGCTCCAGCTCACCTGCCTTCCTTGCCCACAGCTCATGCTCCTTTCAGAAGAGAAGCAGAGCCTGGTGCAGGAGAATGCTGCACTTCGGGAGCAAATGGGCCGACCAGAAGTGGAGGGTGCCCCAGGCCTCACCACTAAGAAATTGTTGCTCCTGCAGTCACAGCTGGAACAGCTGCAGGAGGAGAACTTCAGGTATGGTCAGCTGGGGGTGGGCCAGGGGATGGGGACAAAGGACATCTTTATGTGTCCCCTTCCCCAATACCCTAGGCTGGAGAGCAGCCGGGAGGATGAGCGGCTGCACTGTATGGAACTGGAGCGTGAGGTCACTGAACTGCAGCAAAGGAACCAGGCACTGACCAGTCTGGCCCAGGAGGCACAGGCACTAAAGGACGAGATGGATGAGCTACGGTGGGTAGCAGGTCCTGAGTGCCCACTACACACCTTCAGCATCAGCAAAGTGCCCCCTGGTACTACAACACCTCCCACTCCCAAATGTTGAATGCACTCATACCATGCCTCCTAGGCCATACTGTGCCATCCTGACTCCCTCAGTGCCACTCAGGTCTACTGCACTATCCCCTTAGACCCCCTAGATCCTTGGTATTTCCCTCAGTCTCACAGTGTTCAGTTAGCCAATAGACTCTATTGCACCCTCGACAAATATAGGCCCTCCCAATACCCTCCAGACCCCACTGCACCATCTGGACCTCATCCTGCCCCTGGATTCCAGTGGACTGTACAGTTGCAGCACCCTGTGACACTACTATAACCCCAAAGACCTCTCCTGTGAGAGGATGCTAAAGTACCCAGTGAACCATCCCACTGTATTTACAAAGACTCCCCACAGCCCTCTCATCACCCCAAAGTGTCTTTTTTTTGGGGGGAGGTCTTTTTGAGACAAGGTCTCCCCGTAGCCCCAGCTGGCCTGGAACTCACTATGTAGACCAGGCTGACTTTGAACTCACAGAGATCTGCCTGCCTCTGTCTCCTAAGTGCTGAGATTAAAGATGCATACTACCATACTGGGCTCAGTCTTAGATCTTAAAGATGTCTTCTTTTGTATTTCCATAGCATCTGAATCTGAATTTCTTTTTTATTTAAAGAGAGTATCAGAGCTGGAGAGATAGCTCAGTGGTTAAGAGCACTGGTTGCTCAGGCAGAGGACCCAGGCTTGATTCCCAGCACCTACATGGTAGCTAAGAACCATCTGTAACTCCAGTTCCAGGGGAATTCAACGCCCTCTTCTGGCCTACACAGGCACTGCATGGCATGGGTGCACTTACACACATGTAGGCAGTATGGTCAAACACATAAAAAAATACAAATTAAAAAAATATATACTTTAGGTGTGTAGACCAGGCTGACTTTGAACTCACAGAGATCTACCTGCCCCCGAGTGCCACCTCCCCAGTGCTGGGACTAAAGGTGTGCACCACCACACCCAGCTTCTAAAGTGTCTTTATCTCTCACCCACCCTGTTACCCCAGCTATTCCATGACTCTACAGCTGCACCCCTGAGAATCTTCCCACTCTAACCTATCACCCTAATCACCTCCACCAGCACTAGGCCTTGCCTGACTGTTTCACCACGAACACACATCCCCTAGGCTGATACCCTTCCCTGCCCTACATCCCAGCTGGCCTTTGAATATCCCACTCCCTACCTCCTCTTCAGGCAGTCCTCAGAGCGTGCAGGGCAGCTGGAGGCCACTCTAAACAGCTGCCGCCAACGCCTTGGGGAGTTAAGGGAGCTTCGGCGGCAGGTGAGACAACTGGAGGAGCGCAACGCCGGACATGCTGAGCGCACGCGGCAGCTGGAGGATGAGCTGCGCCGAGCTGGGTCACTCCGAGCCCAGCTCGAGACTCAGCGGAGGCAGGTGAGGCAGGGGGCGGGGCTTGAGTTGGATAGCTCCCTAACGGCTAGTCCCCAGTGCAGCTCTGGTGCCTTCCCACTCTTGTAATTATTGAGCCATGTCCTTTGGATGCAGCCTTCCTCCATCTGGGTTTGTAAGCCTACATTTCCCAAAACACCAACTCCTCCAATTTTTTGGAGCCACTGGCTCCCTTCTGGTCCCTCCTTCCATCTCTGCTGTCCCGATCCCTTCCTCTTCTCCCCTTTTAAAAAAAAATATTTATTTTGTGTATGAGTGTGTGTATGTGTGTGGGCACACAGTGGAGATCAGGATACAATATACCAGAGTTGATTATCTCCACCACGTGGGTTCTGGGGACTGAACTTAGGTAGTCAGGTTTGGTGGCAAGTGCCTGTACCCACTAAGCCATGTCTCCAACCCACCCTTCCCTTCCTCCAGGTGCAAGAACTGCAAGGCCAGTGGCAGGAGGAGGCCATGAAGGCTGAGAAATGGCTATTTGAGTGTCAAAACCTGGAGGAAAAGTATGAATCAGTGACAAAGGAGAAGGAAGTGAGTCTGGAGTCCCACAACCCACACTCTGCCCTGCCTTGGGCCAGCCTTTTTCCCAAGAGGCCCAGCTGGCTTCTTTGGCATCTTGAATTCTGTCCCTGCAGCGGCTGCTGACAGAGAGGGACTCCCTGAGGGAGGCCAATGAGGAACTGCGCTGTGCCCAGCTACAGCCAAGAGGATTGACACAGACTGGTGAGTGAAAGATCTGTGGGGTCTAAGAGAGGGGTGGTCTGGGAGAAGGGTGGTCTGGGGCTGAACTCAAGCTCCCAAAATTGATTCTTGAAAAGAGAACCCAAGAATGGGGACTGTGGGTATACAGAAACCTAAAGACCTGCTTTCTCCAGACCCCTTGCCAGATCCTACTCCTTCAGGCCTGGAAAACTTGGCAGCAGAGATCCTGCCTGCAGAGCTCAGGTATATTGGGGTCTCTCAAGGCTCTGGACCCACCCCAAGGCCAGTCAGGGCCCACCCTCAGCCCAAACCTCAGAGTAGAAGCCTATCTTCCTTGTTCCCTGGTCTTAGCTAGATCCCTAGGCTTCCCAGCTCCCAGTTCTGCTCCAACATGGGGCTCTAGTCCTCTGAGATCTGTTTAGTGCACAAATTAAGTCCAACCCACCTGGCTCCATTCCTCCTGTGAATTCTTGCCTCTTAGCCCTGCCTACTTAGGGTCCAGCCCTGTGCTCACTGGAGCCACTATGAGGTCTAGCCCCTTTCGCTGGCTCTGGGTAGCGCTCTTAACCTCAGCTGTATTATCTTCACAGTTGAATGCAAGTGTTCAACTACACAATCCTTTGTGCAGTTCAGCTCCAGGCCTCTCTAAGGCCCTATCCACTTTGGTTACCCTCCCCAGCTTGCCATTCACCATGCCCAGGGCCGTCCCCCAGAGCCTAAGTCCTCCTCCCCATCACCTAATGGACTGTGCAGGAGCCCAAACTGCCCTTTGAGATGACTGGATCAGAGCCCCACTCACTTCTTCCTGTTCAACAGAGAGACACTTCTGCGGCTGCAGCTGGAGAACAAACGGCTGTGCCAGCAGGAGGCAGCAGACCGCGAGCGGCAGGAGGAGCTGCAGCGCCACCTGGAGGAGGCCAACCGTGCGCGCCATGGGCTGGAGACTCAGCACCGGTGAGTCGACTAGTGTGGAGAGGTCTACACCTGAACCCGCGCAAACACTGAGCATTCCCCCTCACCAGGCTGAACCAGCAGCAGCTGTTGGAGCTGAGGGCCCAGGTGGAGGACCTGCAGAAAGCCCTTCAGGAGCAGGGGGGCAAGACTGAGGACGTGAGTGCCCACCTCCTCCCTGCCTGGCCCTCCCCTGTGCCCCCCAGTAATCCTTCTTTTTCTCCCTGCTGCTGCCTGATGCCTGATGCAGGCTACTGTGAGTACCATGGGCCCAGGGAGACACCCCACCCTTACCTTGCACAGGCCTTCAGACCTCCCTGCCCCCTCTCATCTGCTGTTTCTTTCCCCCAGCCCATCCTGCTGAAGAGGAAGCTGGAAGAACATCTGTAAGTGCAGACAGCTGTCATTTCTGGGGTAGGAATGCCTGGGGCCAAGGTGTGGGAAGTCATAGGGGAATAGAGCCAGTCTGCTCAGGTAGTCTTTGAGGCAGGATCTCATTGTAGCTGATGCTGGCCTTGAACTCCTGATCCTCCTGCCTCTGTCTCCCAAGTGCTGAGAATGCAAGTGTACACCACCTTGCCTTACCCTCAGGTGCGATCTTGGAGGTTTCAGGGAAGGTGGCCAGGACTATTGGGGCACAGTGGGGAAGCATGGACAAGCTTTTAGCCAGGCAGTGTGGTAAAGTGTTTTTGGAAGGTGGCAATGGAACCCAGAGGCCTCACATAGCAAGTATTCTACCACTGAACCACATCCTTTAATTTTATTTTGAGACAGGGTGTCACTTTGTAGCCCACACTGAGCTGGAGCTTGCAATCCTCCTGCCCCAGCCTCCTGCATGTTGAAATCATAGGCATGTACCATCATGCCTAGCTCAGAATCTCTTTTAGCCCTGGGTCTGTGTTCTCAGCATTCGCGAGGTAGGAGGAGGAGGAGCAGGAGTTCAGGGCCTAGGTTGCGTGAGACCCTATCTCAGATCAAACAAATAAAAAAAAACTGACTTAGTGGTGGAGCATTTGCTGCTTAGTATGTTCAGGGGTCCTGGGTTCCATCCTTAGTGCCACAAAATAAATAAATAAATAAATAAATAAATAAATAAATAAATAAATAAATAAATAAAAATCTCATGGGGCTGGAGAGATGGCTCCTTGGTTAAGAGCACTGGCTGCTCTTGCAGATGACTCAAGTTCAGTTCTCAGCACTCACATGATAGCAAACAACCATCTGTCACTCCAGTTCCAGGAGATCTGATGCCCTCTTATCATCTCCATGGGCGTTACACACATGGGTGAACTTACATACTTGTGTGCAAAACAACTCATATACACATAAAATAAAAATCTATGAACACATGCACACACACATGCACACGCACACGCATGCACTGTGCTGTTGAATGAAAAATGGAGCTGAGGGGTTGACAGTGGAAGAGGTTGGCCAGGGGTGAAGGGATAATGGGGGCCAGACCAACATTCAGACCATGGGGTGGGAAAAATTGGACAAGGGCCACCTGGGTAGGGATGTGGAGGGTTGTAGCTCTGATGGCAGAGGAGACAAACAAGCCAGCACACAGCACCTCCAGGCATGGTGGGCTGGCTACTACATCTCAGTGGCTCTAAAGAGGCTCCTGATCTGCTGGAACACCAGTAGGACAGAAGAGAAGCCAGGGAGCTTGGGTGTGGCTTGGCTGTGCAGCATTAGCCTAGCGCTCACCAGTGAGAAGCTAGGGTGTGACTTAGTGGCAGAGTACTTGTCTAGCATGGACAAGGCCCTGGGTTCCATCCCCAGCACTACAGTTGGATGGATAGATAGGTAAAGAAATGTCAGTCCAAGTTTGCCCACTGCTACCCACCTCCTGCCTACAGGCAGAAGCTGCATGAGGCAGATCTGGAGCTGCAGAGGAAACGAGAATATATCGAGGAACTGGAGCCACCCACCGACAGCAACAGTAAGTGCGCTCAGCAGCAGCCAGGGCTAGGGAGAACCCAGAGGGCAACATGGAACTCAGGGGCCCCTGTGTGTTTTCTAGCAGCTCGGCGGATCGAGGAGTTGCAGGACAACCTGCAGAAGAAAGATGCAGACCTGCGGGCCATGGAGGAGCGCTACCGCCGATATGTGGACAAAGCACGAAAGGTGAGGTTGCCAAGTGTCCCCATGGCTCTCCTGCTTTGGCCACCACTGCCTGTGCTTCCCGCTTCTCGTCAATTCCTGCCTCTTGCCAGGTTGTACTTCTCTGCTCCCTGCACTGACAGCTGTCATCCCCACTGTGTCTAGGCTTCTGTAAGCTGTATTGCTGCCATGAGCTGTCATCTATTGCACTCCAGTGTGTCAAAGGGGCTGTGGCACAGTGCAGTGGTAGAGCTCCTTTATTAAAATCCACCAGTGAGGGCTGGGTGTGTAGTTCACTCTTAGAATGCTCTCTTAGCAGGCCAGGGACCCCAGGTTCAATCTCTAGCACTGCAAAAATAAATAGTGCTTTAATCCTAGCACCCAGGAGGCAGAGGCAGAAGGGTCTCCGTTTGAGGCCAGCCTGTTCTACATATGCGTGCGTGCATGCATGCGTGTGTGTGTGTGTGTGTGTGTGTGTGTGTGTGTGTGTATAAAATAAGATGAAAGCAGAGCCTAGTGGCTCAAGTCTGTAATCACAACTACTCTAGAGGCTGAGGTAGGATGGAAAGTTTGAGACCAACTTGAGCTGCAAAGTGAGACCAGCCTTGGCAACTTAAGGGAGACTTGGTTTCAAAGTAAAAATCAGGGCTGGAGAGGTGGCTCAGCAGTTAAGAACACTGGCTACTCTTGCAGATGTTCCCAGCACCCACATGGCGACTAACAACTATCAGTAACTCCAGTTCCAGGGGATCTGACGCCCTCTGCTGACATCCATGGGCATTGCATGGCACAGGTGTACTTACAGGCAGGCAATATACTCATACACATAAAATAAAAATAAATAAAATATTTTAAAAATCAAAGTAAAAGTAAAAAACCTAATCATGCTGGGTGTGGTGGCGCATGCCTTTAATCCCAGCACTTGGGAGGCAGAAGCAGGCGGATCTCTGTTAGTTCAAGGCCTTCCTGGTCTACATAGTGAGTTCCAGGCCAGCTGTGGCTATAGGGAAACCTGTCTTAAAAAAAAAATAAATAACAAACCTAACCAGGCATAGTGGTGTGCACCTTTAATCCCAGCACTTGGGAGGCTTGGCAGGCTGATCTTGGTGAATTTGAGACCAGCCTGGTCTACATAGTGAGTTCCAGGCCAGCTGGGGCTACAGGGAGACCCTGTCTCAAAAGACAAAAAAAAAAAAAAAAAAAAAAAAAAAAAAAAAAATCCAGACATGATGGCACATACTTCTAACACTCCCACGTATGACAAGGAGGCAGGAAGGTCACAAATTGAAGGCTGCCCAGCCTGAATGAGACCCTGTCTCAAACGATGTGACGTCAGTGCTGCAGCTCACTTGCCTGGCATGTGTGAAGCTTGAAGTTCTTCAGTCTCCAAGACAGCAAAAAGTTACCATCATCACCAAGCCAAGCTCACCCTGCCTGTGATTTCTCCAATGCCTAGGTCATCCAGACCCTGGAGCCCAAGCAGCAGCTACCTGTAAGGGCACCTCTGGAACTCCAAGCCCTGAAGACACAGCTCCGGGAGCGGGATGTTAGGATCCGACACCTGGAGGTAGGTTTCCTCAGCATTTTGAGCTTCCCCCTGCACAACCAGGGCCATGACTCTTGCTTCCTTGGCAGATGGACTTTGAGAAGAGTCGGAGTCAACGGGAGCAGGAGGAAAAACTGCTCATCAGCGCCTGGTATAGCATGGTGAGTGAGCTGCCCCAGTGTCTGGGATGTCAGGGACATGTGGGCTCAGCTACCCCTTGCCAATCACACCATCCCTCTAGGGCATGGCCTTGGACCATTGGTCTGGGGAAGAACGGGCTCCTGCCCATGCCCAGTCCTTCCTGGCACAGCAGCGCCTTGCCACCAATGCTCGCCGTGGACCCCCGGGACGCCTGACATCTCTGAGCCTTCGCCCAGCTGACAAACATTGACAGACCTCAGCCCTCTTACCATCTGTCAGCCAACCAGGGCTTCATTCATCCTGGAGTCCTCCAGCTCACCTAGTACCCAACTGGGGGCCTTGGCCTTGGTGCCATAACCTCTGCTCTTTGCTTCCCTAGATGTGGGGGAAGGGGAGGGCAGGTAGCAGGTGTAGGCCTATTCCTTTTAGTAATGTGGTTCTTATCCTTGATTCTCCTTGGTTTCATGTATTATCGGGAAGAGCCTGATTTTATATTTGAGAAGAATAAAGAATTTAAATTTGCCTTGAATGAACTCTGGGCACCATGATGAGGGATAAAAAGTAGGCCAGGAGGCTGGAGAGATGGCTCAGTAGTTAAGAGCACTGGCTGCTCTTGCAGAGGACCTGGGTTCAATTCCCAGGACCCACATGATGGCTTACAACCATTTTAACCCCAGTTTCAAAAAAATCTAACACCCTCTTCAGGCCTTCTTAGGTATCGCATGACACGAGCATACTTACACACATGCAGGCAAAACACTTGTACCAATAAAATAAAAATAATTAATTAAAAACAAAAACAACTGGGCACTGTGGCACACAATTGTAATCCTAGCACTGAGGGAGCAAAGACAGGAAGATCAGAAATTTCAGGTCACCCTCTTCTACATAGGCGGTTTGATGCCAGCCTGGGTTACATGAGAGCCTGTGTCAACAACAGCCTGGGCTACATGACGTGAACATTTCAAATAAAGGGAGGCAGTACATGAATCAGATTAACTGATGGGAGCAGTATTAACTAGGGAAGACTAAAGTAGGCAGGAGAGATGATGGTGGTGCAGGAGGGTTAGGGAAGAGACAGCACTAAATTAAGAGTTCGGGAAGGGAGGCCTAATGGGGAAGTAGCATCATTTAAGCAGACAGCTGAGAGGTGAGCATGGGGCCACGTAGATCCCTGGGGTGTAAGTGCCTGTGGAAGAGCAATCCAGACAGGGAACAGCAAGTGCAAAGGCCCTGAGAGAGCTTGCTTGGAGGGTTAGAAGCTATGAGTATGGTTTTGGCTTCATCCTCTGGAAGGACAAAGTTGACAGACACAGGCAGGCCAGGTTGGGAAGCCACTGGAAGCTGATTTGTGTGTGGGGGTTACCTTTAAAGTGCCTGGGGGGGGTTGCTGGAGAGATGGCTCGGTGATTAAGAGCACTGGCTGCTCTTGCAGAGGACCTGGGTTCGAATCCCAGCACCCACATGGCAGCTAACAACTGTCTATAACTCCAGTTTCAGGGGATCCATCACCCTCTTCTGGCCTCTGTGAGCATTGCGTGACATGGGTGCACTTGCATTCAGGCAATACACTCACAAATCTAAAAAAATAATAAGCCGGGTGAGGTGGCGCACGCCTGTAGTCCCAGCACTTGGGAGGCAGAGGCAGGCAGATCTCTGTGAGTTCAAGGCCAGCCTGGTCTACATAGTGAGTTCCAGGACAGCTGGGGCTACAGGGAGACCCTGTCTCAAAAAGACAAAAAAATATTAAAGTGCTATGGGATCTATCTTCCCTTGGACAAGTCAAAGAGTCATTAAAGAAGGGGTCCTAGCTAGACTTTTAAGTTCAAAAGTCATGGCATATAAGGGCAATTAAGACCTGGAAAGCCAGGTGTGTTGTCCACACTCCTAGCCCTCAGGAGGCTGAGGTAATAAGATTGCTGTGAGCTTGAGGCCAGCTGGGGCTACATAGCAAGATTCTATCTCAAAAACAAAACAAGGGCTCTTGAAGCCCCATCCCTGGCTGTGGAGTGATTGGTAAGTGATGGTGGAGGGAGAGTCAGTTTCTTCAGGGATGTAATCCTGGAGTGGTTACATATGCCCAGAGGTTACACATGGTCCCACACCCATGTCCATACAGGCAGCACCAAGTGGATACCGTAAGTTTAGAATCAAAGTGCATGAAGTTGGAAGGGATTAGGAAGTGGATTTTATCAAAACATACTATATGTATGCATAAAATTGTCAAACAAATAATTTAGAAGAAAAAAAAAATCAGAACAAGCAAAACCAAAAACAGTAATCCCTGAACTTGAGACATGAAGTTGAGAGGATCAGGAGTTCAAGGTCATCTTGGGCTGCATAGTGAGTTCAAAGGGTTATAATAGACCCTGGCTTTAAAAATCAAAAGGGTGGCCGGGCATGGTCGTGCACGCCTTTAATCCCAGCATTTGGGAGGCAGATGCAGGCAGATCTTTGTTAGTTTGAGGCCAGCCTGGTCTACATAGTGAGTTCCAGGACAGCTGGGGCTACAAGGAGGCCCTGTCTCAAAAAGATAAAAAAATTAAAAATCAAAAGGGAGGGCTGGAGAGATGGCTCACTGATTGGAAACACTGGTTGTTCTTGCAGAAGGCCCTGGGTTTGAATCCCAGCACCCACATGGCAGCTAACAGCTGTCTGTAACTCCAGTTCCAGGGCATCTGACAGCCTCTTCTGTCCTCTCTGGGCATTGCACGACGTGGGTGCACTTACTTACATGCAGGGAATACATGCATACACATAAAATACAAATAATAAAATTTAAAAAAAAAATCAAAAGGAAGCTGGAGAGATGAGGCCAGTGAATGTAGCTGCTGCTTGGCCTGAGTACCTGAGTTTGATCTCTGGGACTTGCATGGTGGATGGAGAGAACTGACTTCCGAAAGTTTTCCTCTGACCTCCATGCACGCACACATACAAATAGATGCAAAAAATTATACAAGGGGCTGGAGAGATGGCTCAGCAGTTAAGAACACTTGTTGCTCTTGCAGAGGATTTGGGTTCTGTTTCTAGTGCCTATATGGTACTAGATGGCTCACCTCCATCTGTAACTCCAGTTCCAGGGGATCTGACACTCTCTTCTGGGTTCTGGCCTCTGAGGGCACCAGGCATGCAGAAGATGTATATGATACACACACACACACACACACACACACACACACACACACACACACAGAGGCAAACACTCATACACAAACTAAAAATAAATCTTAAAAAAAATTAAAAACAAGGGGCTGGAGAGATGGCTCAGCAGTTAAGAACACTGGTTGTTCTTACAGAAGACCCAGGTTCGAATCCCAGCACCCATATGGCAGCTAACAACTGTACATAACTCCAGCTCCAGGGAATCTGACAGCCTCTTCTGTCCTCTGTGGGCATTGTACAATATGGGTGCACTTACCTACATGCAGGCAATACACATATAAAATTAAAATAATAAAATATTGTGCTGGATAGCTTTAGTGTCAACTTGACACACCTGGGTTGAGGGAGCCTAAATTGGGAAAATGCCTCTATTGGACTGGCCTGTGGCCATGTCTGAAGGGCATCTTCTTGATGAGTGATGTGGGAGGGCCCAGCCCACTGTGGGTGGTGCCACCCCTGGGCAGGTGGGCCTGTGTTGCATAAGAAAGCAGGCTGAGCAGGGGCCAGGAGAGCAAGCCTGTAAGCAGCATTCCTCCATGGCCTGTGCTCCAGCTCCTGCCTCCAGGTTCCTGCCCTGAGTTCCTACCTTGGGCTCAATGATGAACTGTGACCCGGGAGATGTAAGATAAATAAACCCTTTCCTCCCCAAGTTGGTATTGGTCAGAGTGTTTTGTCCCAGCAATGAAGAAACAAACCAAGACAGTAATTGGTACCAGAGTGTGGGGAACTGCTGTGACAGACCTGACCTTGGTGCTTTGGGGAGGACTGTGGAAGTGTTTGGAACTTTGGGCTGGAA